CTTTCTTTCTTTCTTTCTTTCTTTCTTTCTTTCTTTCTTTCTTTCTTAAAAGACCGCGAGTTGTCTTGGCATTTGGCAGTTGTTCCTGTGGCTGTGGCTGTTGTCATCATAGGAGGAGTATACTTGAGTAAATACTGGAAGCAAAGATCTACCAAGGGATATGTTGTGGCCAGCTCCTAAGGAATATACTTTTATTTCTTACACATTTTTTATTTTAGCATCCTAAATGATTTTCTCATCTGTCCTAAGATATCTAGAATCCTTTCTGTTGTAAACAGAAATGAAGTTGCACACTGTATGTAATGGAAAGATGGTTTTATTTGATATTTTATGTTTGTATTTGTTAATGTTTGTTGTCAAAATAAAAAAAAATGAAGTTGCTGTTTCTATGCTTGTTGAAGGAAATCTAATGGAAATTTCTATAATAACAAAAATATAATAATTGTATTGTTTTTAATTTTATTTCTAATTTTACCACTGAAACCTGATACAAAAAAGTAACTTTAATAGTAGTAAACATGAATCAGCTACTATCTTATTTAGGTTTTATATTAATGGGGGTATATGCGCATACTTTATAAATTGTATTGAATTTTTTTTAAAAAAATATATGATTAATTTTAAAACAAAGAGAGATGGCGGCAAAAAGTGAGAGAGACTTTCAGCGATCATAAAAAAGACAGATTTTTAAAAAGAAAAACCTAAAGGGAATTAATATTCCAAAGAAAAAAAGTACAAAGTGAACCTACCATTAAGTTATAATTCTAATTTTTGATTTCTTCGGTACCAAAACCTTATTTTATGTTTATATTTGTTATTACAAGTTATGTTTTAAATATAATGTCTGATTTTTTGGAATTTTGGAAGCCAGTAAGATATCAAAGCTGAACAGGGAATATAGCAAATGTAGTTAATTGTATTATAATTACAATTGTATACATTTGATGTCATATAATAAATTATATTCCTTCTCCAATTTTACTGTTTTTGTTTACTATTTATTAACTGATTAAGAGTAATTATGAAGGCTAATATCCAATTTTAATGCTGTCCATTATATTATCAGCATTAGAAACTTGACTGATACTATAACAATTTTTTTTTTTTTTTTTGCTCTATCTGATGTTGCCAAACTGGGTAATCCATGTTACAGTTGAACCTCAGGTCGCAACCATAATCCATTCCAGGACTATGGTTGCAACCCGATTTGGTCATGACCGGAAGCACAACTGACTGTGCATGAGCAAGTTAGTGCATGCGCAGACTGACTGTGCATGCACAGAAGGGGAAATCACCACAGCCAGGTTTGTTCACCACCCGATTTTTGAATCGTGACCTGATTCAAAACTCAGGTGGATTTTTGGGTCGGAACACGATTTGGTTGAGAACAGGTGCGTTCACGACCTGAGGTTCCACTATAGCTGCATAGAGAATTCACATGTCTGCTGAAAGTGTCATATAATTAAGCATCCTTTAATTAAACCAAATTATTGTCTCTGTAATCATTTGAGCCTACACCATAGTAATAAAAGCATCAATATTTTTTGACTTATATCTGCAGAATGCAAGTCACCAGACCCTTCTTAAAGTGACCCAGACCATATTAGCAAACGATAGGGCAGTAGATGTTCTGTGAAAATTGTATCTAGAGGAAAACATTACCAGGATCCAGAGCTAGATACTTGTTGATCAAGTCCTGATGAATTGATAGAAACCAAGAGAGCTACAAGTTATGATAATCAGTGTGCCTTGTTTATCTCTTGCTTGGATATGGCAATGTTCTCCCCGGAGATGGCTTTGAAGAGCAGTCAGAAAAAATAGCTGATCCAGAATTCAACAACTTGAATAGTAGGATGGAGACATCTTATTCACCCATGTAACATTACTATTTCAATGTTGCAGTGGTTGACAGTTGGTTTTCAGATACAATCAATGTGCTGATTGTCTTTTTGTGTCTCTTTGGTTGTCTCAATGTCCCTTGCACAGCTCAGGACCTTGGACCTTGTATCTCTAGACCGATCTAGAGATCCAATTTAATTTTCTATCCACTAAGATCTGGTACAGCAGATCCTCTCCATATCCTTGCCTCAAATAATAAAAATCACAGAAGTTGAACCTTCTGAAGTGTTGTAGAATAGTATTTTTCTAGAAATCTGACTCTCTCTGGAAGCTCACTGAAACCTGGCTGTTCCAGCAGGCCTTGTGAATGGGATGTTTTAATGTTTTTTTTCTTTTGGCATTGGAATATTTGTTTAATATACTGTAACAATCTCCTGGTGTCTATGTGAGTAGATATTCTTTGTCGGTAATTGTGATGTTCTGCAAACCCACCGGAAGCCAGCAACTAATTATGTTTTTGTTTTAAAAAGAAAAAGAGTTTTAAAACTAATCATTTGTGTTTTCAAACATCATTTATTGATGTCATAATGACCAAACTATGTTTATCTCATTTGTAAAGTATTTATACCATGACTGTGCATTTATAGACTAAGGCATTACTAATTATAATTAATCATAAGGGTAAATGCTATTGTGTTTGTCATTTTTGTTTT